TACCGACCGATACTTTTTAACTTGTTATATTATCTGGCTTCTTATCACAATATAGAAACCTTCAAATAAAACATGAAAAAATATATTGAACTCAATTCACGTTTGCACCTCATGCTAAAAGGAAAACAAGAAAAAACAAAAAGCAATATTCACCACCCCCATATTCAAAAAAAATATTCCTTTATGTTTTTACTTTGCCCTGTCATTTTACGTCTGCCTTTCATTTTATTCCAATCCATTTGCATGTTGTTTTCATAGTTAATCTGTTATTTTATAGTTTGATAAAGAACTCAACATTTAGTGTCCGTTCTGACTAGATGTTGTTGTTCGTTCGTTCGTTCGTCCGTCAGTTCTTTTTGTTGTACGACACAATGGGTATGCATGAGATCATTTTTTTCGGTTCTCTATTTTCTTTGGCGTTTTTTTTTTTTTTTTTTGGCTCATATTCAAAAGCATAAAGACGACATTGTTTTGTTGGCGGGGGTTTTCTTTTGGGGGCTTACAGACTTACATAGATGTATGTTTGAATGTATGTAATACATGCCCAAGAATTCATAGGCAAACAAATAAGTTTGCAAAATGATGAAGAAGAAATAAACTGATTTAAAACCCTCATGGCTCTTCGAAATAAAAAATGTACCTAAATATTTGTTTTAGGTTATTGTATTTTTCTTGGTCTTGGTCTTCTCTAGCTTAAATTTAATTATAAAATAAATATTTGAAAAGTTGTAGGGACATACACATGCCTACAAACCTATGTATACACCTCGGTGTGTTCATAAAGCCAAAAACACACGCAATATGAACACAAACTGACGTCATTTTATTTCAATCACTGGCCATCATCATCATCACCACCACCATCGTCGGCGCAATCATGCTGCTCATGTTGAAAATATGTTTGAATGTCTTATTATTTGCTCTATATAATACCTCTTTGCCCGGGCCATTCACCCTCACTTGCCGAGGAAAATTTCATAGAAAAATATATATTTTTTTATTTTGTATTTTTCTTACGGCTGAGTATTTAAAATAAGTCATAACAAGTGTCTGCATTTGCTAATTTTGTAATTTTATGTCATTTATTTTCCTTGGGGAAAAGGGAGGCTACGGAAAGGGGAGAGGGTTGGTGGTGTTAAATGTAGGAAGGATAGAATGAAAATTGTTTAATGGCAGCAGTCGGAATCTGAATACATGTTCATTATACATAACTATTCATTTCCTCAATCTAATTGCTGTGCTGTGCTGCGTATGAATGATATTTTCATTTCATAGTTAACGAATATTTTTTTTTGGGAACATGTATACGCCACATTTGCCTGCACGCTCTCATTCTCTCTCACAGTGCAGGCAGGCAGGCACGCACGCACAAACACCAACACCAACACATGTGGTGTTTGTATACTTGGCAAAGTTTACACAATCGTCAACAAGAACTTTAACGTCTTGGCGCAGCAATAATTAAATAAAAGTTAATTAGTTCACAGAAACTATTTTGCCTTTGGCGGTTTCCTAACCTGCACTGCACAAAATAGTTTTGTGCTGTTTTTTCTCTCTTGTTCTGGAGTGGGAATAAACCACCTGCTTCCGGTGGTGTGGCTTTTCTTTTTTGCATAGACTCCAAAGAAAAGTTTACCCAAACGTTATTAACAATGTGTGTTTCCTCCAAGGCCATTATCCAAATTAATGCAGAACGAAAGAAAGAAAAAAACGCTGACAGACAAAGCGAGATGCGTTAGCATTACTTTGGTTGGTTCTACATGGAAATAGTAGAGTGGGTCGTCAAAAATATTAATTTTTAGATTTTAGATTTCAATGATTTGTACCAGCAGAATTGCTGTGAAAGTCATGATTTCCAATAGAATTATCCTGGCCAGAAATGGGCAAATACCTCAGAACCTGTCAATCGAAAAAAGAATGAATACTTACTCTTTATCAGCTTTCCATTGATTTGGATATTGGACCGGAAGAATTGTTCTTAAAGATTTGTGTCTAATTTTTTTAGAAATTTATCCAATCGACCCACACTTTGTATGTTGCCAGTGGATCGCTTACCTTTAATATGCATATTGGAACGGAGAAATTGTTCTGGGGAAAAATGGGGCAAAAATCTACAAAGTACTGAATATCCGGAATATATATGAAAACGTGGACCTATATTTACTATGTTCCGCCACAAGAGCTAGAAGCCATTACGAACTATAAATACCAATTTTATGACGAATCCGTGGAAAAGTGTGACAAAAATCATCAAAATACCGAATATCGGGAGATATAGTCGTGACATGGGCGCTATAGGAAACGTTCACCTAGATATTCAATATTTCGCCACACGAGCTAGAACCCATTACGACCTAGAAATACGTTTGAACAAATTCGTGGAAAAATGTGGCAAAAATCATTAAAATACCGAAATACCTCTAAAAATGGCCAAATACCTCGAAATCTATACAATCGTCCTGCATATTTTATGATGCTAATGGTATAGTACTCTTCAAAAGCTTTGTATAGATATTCCGGTCAGCCCCGATAAATAATTTTGGGAGACAAAATGGAATTTTCCATTTTACGTTTTTTTTTAATTATTAAACCTTGGAGTCTGTCCAATCGTCCTACACTTTTTATATCCTCAGCCATATGGCTTGAGAGGGATATATATCATTTGATACGGCCAAAACGTGCCTCATTGAAATAATGGTGGATAAAATCCGTTTCAAGACATTTGGAGTCTGAGATCTAGCAAATGTCCATCCGTCCGTCCTCCTGCCTGGCTGGTGCGACCGATAACTCTCGAATGGAGTACTCGATTCGATCCAAACTTGGTACATCGTAATGTTATTGTCAAACTTAGATCGAGTTCGGAGATGTAAAATATCCGTCCACTCCTTCTGGTATCTTCCCCACAAAATGTCAATATTTTCAAAGAAAATAATTTACAGCACAGGAAGACAAAAGATAATCCGATTTTTGCTCCAACTTTGCATCAGTGCTAGGTCAGGTGCGAAAATTGACAATATCGGTCCACTCCATCCCCCACAAAGAGTCAACATTTTGAATAATTATAATCATAATATTTTTATTAACCCAAGGTCTGGTGTGAAGATGGGATATATCGGTACACTACTTCTGGTACCTCTCCCAAAAGGGTCAACATTTTGAATATTCATGAAGCTCATGCAACACGAAATCAACATCCGATTCCAATCAAACTTTTCACATCTCAATATTTCCATCAACACTTTTGGTACTTCCCCCACCCACAAAGGGTCAAATTTTTGAATAACAAAACGATCATAAAATCTGAAATAAGCATCCGGTTCTCTTCAAATTACACACATCACAATATTTTTAATAACCCAAGGTCTGGTGTGAAGATGGAATATTTCGGTCCACTCCTTCTGGTACCTCCTTCTAGTAGAGATCGGACCATTCCTTCTGGTACATTCCCTACGAAAGGTCAAGGACTAAAACGATCATGAAATCCGAAATAATCATCCTGTTCTCTTCAAATTACACGCATTACAATATTTTTATTAACCCAAATTCTGGTGTGAAGATGGGATATATCGGTACACTACTTCTGGTACCTTCTGGTAGCTCATAATTTGGCAGAGGTATTTCTGAGCTGTATTTGATATATTACCCCGAATATCGCACGCAAACATTTTGGCCGCAAACCTTGGAAATTCCAACAGGCCTCCAGTAACCAAGAATGGTTACAAAATTAGGTTCCTCGCTTCATTTTCAGCGCACAATGGCCACCAAAATCTCCGGATACCAATCCGTTGGACTATTGTGAAAAGCAAGATTAGCACTAAAAAAAGTGACGATCACCTTAAGCAAGCGCTTCGCCGGGAATGGGCCAAAATACCGCAGAGCAACATTGGGGCAGCGTGTGATGGTTTCACTGGCCGTTTGAAGGCCATAATTCGTGCCAAAGGTGACCAATTCTAACAAATCTAAACTTATTCTAAAATTTGATACTATTTCCGACATTTTTTGCGTTCATTCAATAAAATTAAAAAAAAAAAAAACAGTAAAAATTTTGGCGTTTGACTTTGTTGCATTTTTTTTATTTCACCCTGTTGTCACTCGAATTTGTCCATAATACTGTCTCCCAGCTCGCCATTCAAACATTTTCAGCATGTCTTTAAAGACTCTCTTTTGGTTCCTCCTTTAAAATAGAAAATTCCTCCTGGTTATCTATAAAATTTGTCCATTGATACTCCTCTTCGAAATCTTATTAAGGCTACTCTTACCTGACATTATGACTAATTTCCTTAAGGTTCAGCGCAGCTTAGCTATTATGCCACTCTGAACCCCCTTTCACCTGACCCATAACGGTTTCCTTCAATCTATTTTACGACTCTCTATAACTTCCTCGATAAAAACTTTCTTTCATTTCGTCCATAAAGGCAGCCTTTTTCCTTCTCCTTCACAAAAAATCTCCCTCATGGCCATCTTAAAGAACTCGCCTATTTATACACCCCTTAGCAGAGTTTTTTACCCTATAATCTACTGCATCTATTATTCAAAAGTGTAAGTCGTCAAAATAAAAATGGTTTCCCCATTTGTAGACCGACCACTTTTCCTTTGTCCAATTGTGGTAATGTTGGCACAATTTTGCAAACGTCAACACAGCGAGTGAGGCGGTTTTTCAGGTTATCCTTGTTAAATACATACAAACACTCTTAATTGGCTTCATTGTTAATTCATATGCGAATATGAGTGAGTGTGTGTGTGTGTCCGTTAGGAAACTAACATCACAAGTTTGCTGTTGTTGTTGTTGGGTTTTTACTAGGACATCGCAGCAAAAAGTTTATTTTTGCTGGATCGCCATAAAACAAACATAGTTTAATAATGTCCCTGTCGTTCTGCCCAGAATTTATGGCTATCACAGTGATATTTATCTCTTCGTGAGTGAGTGTGTGTGTGTATGTGTGTTTCGGTGCGTACCTACCTTTGATGTTTCTTGTTCTTCTTTCTTTCATTCTGTGCAGGTAAATACCAAGGACAGTGGCAAGAGGGCAAACGACATGGCTATGGTATACGAACTTCGGCTCCTTTTGGTCTGGCCTCACACCATCGTCGCAAAGATGTCCATGCCTCCATGGCCTCCTTGAGAAGTACGGACAACGCCGGGGCAGCCAGTTCAACAAAAGCCGGTGGTAGGGGCGAAGAGGTGAGAGGAGGTTTTGTGCTGACCGCACGATCAGATAAGACGCCACAGAGACGAAACAGTCTAACGGACAAAACGAAAAAGGGTTTCTTGTCGGTAAGCCCACCTTGTGATAATCTCACGATGATAAGTTTCGTCAGCCATTGTTCTTTTAATTGCTAGGGTCTTAAGATGAGAAAACAACGCAGTACTGGTGATTTGGCTACACGTGGCACCTTAGCCTCCGGCAGTATACGTTCAACAATGTCCACAGCCTCTTGGCTGAGTACAGGGTCAGAGCAATCGAATTTAACTGCAAGGTAAGCAAACTTGAGACCTGTTTGCGGAAGAAATTTTCCTAATTATTATTCTCGCCTTATCTTTTTTCAGATCAATACACACAGAATCGAATGCCAGCTTTACCATGGAAGATGATCAGCTGGATCCGACCACCGTCGAAACCTACATGGGTGAGTGGAAAAAGGACAGACGTTGTGGTTTCGGTGTGGCCGAGCGCAGTGATGGCCTCAAGTACGAGGGCGAGTGGTATAACAACATGAAACATGGCTATGGTGTGACCACCTTCCGTGATGGCACCTTCGAGGAGGGCAAATACAAGAACAACATCTTGATTACCAGTCAAAAGAAAAAGCATTTGTTTATAGCACGTTCAAGAAAGTTCCGTGAACGTATCACCGCTTCAGTGGCCTCGGCCCAGAGGGCTTTGAAAATGGCCATGCAGCGATCGGATATTGCCGTTTCGCGTACCGCCACAGCCAATTCCAAGGCCCAGAGTGCCGATGTGGCCGCGGAACAGGCACGCATCGACTGTGACATGGCTGTGCAGATGGCTCGTGAATTCGCCCCAGACTTCAAGCCCACAGTGCTGGAGCGCTTTGAAAAGTTACGCTACCGTGAACGTTACAAGTCACCGGCCTACCAACCTGCAGCCGGGTCGGGCGACTTCTTCGGTGGTCATTCGGCTGCCCAGCGGGCGTTATCGGCCCAGAAGGCCCAACAGAATGCCGAATTTCCGGTACCCAGTTCAATGTATTCGCAACAGTTGCCGGTTTCGCCGCAAACCGATTTGTCGTTAATGGTCAATCAGTCGTCTCAAATGAACGCCATAAACACCATCAATCAGATGTATCACCAGCAACAGAGTAATCCTCAAATGAATCCTGCATATCAATATCAGCCGCAACAGCCACCGGGAGGCAGCAATCTGGGCGGTAGTCGGATGAATCTGAATCAGAACTATGCATCGCACAGCAATTTGAGCAGTGGTGGTGGCAGTCCGGCGATGAAACAGATGCAAATGGAGTCGACCAGTTTTCAGAATGCCGAGGCCACGCATACATTTACCAATATGCAGCAGCAACAGCAGCAGGTGTATCAGCAACAACAACAGGAGCAGCAAAGACAACAACAACTGCAGCAGCAGCAACAACAGCAGCAGCAATTGCAACAGCAGCGACAGCAACAGGAGGAACAACTGAAGCAGCAGCAGTTACAACAGCAACAGCAATTACAACAGCAATTGCGACAGCAACAACAACAACTGCAGCAGCAGCAACAAGCGCAACAACAACTGCAACGAAATCAACTGAACCAATCACAAACGAATCTAGACTCGCCCATGTATAATCCCAGTCAAGCGCGACGGCCCTCACAAATGCTCTACCACCAGCAACAGCAGCAATTGTTGCAACAACAACAGCTGCAGCAGCAGCAACAACAGGACCAAATAGATAGCATGACCCGTACTGGTAAACCTCCTATGCTTGGCCAGACCAGTCAGCAGTCATCAATCGATCACTTCGATCATTACAAACGTCCGCCCAGCCGAGACGCATCCATAGATCGCTATTCCCGGGCGGCCAGTCGCCTAAGCGGTGGCATGGCCTCGCGACAGGCGTCCGTCGATCGTCAAGCCACGGCTACGAATATAACAAGCGATTCGAATTCGGTAACCGGTGGTAGCAGTGGTGGTGGTGGTGAACAGCGGCCTCGAGCAGGATCAGTATTTCGTGGCTCAACGCCAGCCCCCTCGGCTGGCAATACGCCAACCGGTAATGGTTCAGTGCCAACGGGAACGGGACGCCTATCGAGGGCCGGTACGCCCAGCATCGGTGCAACAAGTAGTGCTACAGCCAGTGGTCTGGAGCCAATGTTCTCGAAACCCAATCAACCATTTGAAGATATACTCCTGGTTAAGCGTACGCTGGGTCAGGACATCATTCCCTCGCCCTCACAGCCCAAGCGCACCGAGAGTCTGTATATGCCAGCCAAACCGGCATCACCATTGGCAGCGGCCGGTGGCGGTAATGGCGGCAAGAAAATGAAGGTAAGTGAGATAATTTGAATAGTGTTATAGCTTAAGTATCTCGTAGATAAAGTATTCAAAGCAGGGAGATAATTTTCGAAGGATCCAACGGGCTAAGCGAAAACGTGATTAAATGCCAGGATATTATGTAGAATTTTCTGAAGGCCAGATTACACAATATGTTAGAGTCGTATGTAACGCAATTTTTTCCTATTTATAGCATACTTTTGGGTGCCCCAGAATGTCAAATGGTTTGGAACCCCTAAAAGTATGCTGTAAAATGCTAAATAATATGTGAAATGATCATTTTACATATCGCAAATTCAAAGAGTACCATAGCTCAATAAAATCCGAGCTCAAATGCATCCATTTTTATACCCAACCCCACATAGTGGTATGAGTATTATGTCTTAGTAAATTTGTTCGTAACATGGAGAAGGAAGCGATATAGACCCATAGTTATTTTTGAGGTATTCGTAGAATCACTTGCTGAGTCGATTTATGCATATCAGTCCGTTTGTCCGTTAATGAATTTTTACGAACAAAATGCAGGTCACATTTATCATCCGATTAAGATGAAATTTTGCAAACAATATTTGTTTGACCCAAGGACGAACTCTATTGAAATTTGTCGAGAATCGGTTAAAACTTAGATATGGCTCCCATATATACAGGGTGAGATGAAATACTGCAATCAACTTCTGACTGCTGTCATTTCTACGCCACTCGTCCGACAGCAAAATTTAGATATAGTTCCCATATATACACGGTGAGATGAAATACTGCAAACAACTTCTGACTGCTGTCATTTCTACGCCACTCGTCCGACAGCTGTTAAAATTATTCCAGTGAAAGTTCTTTACATTGTCTACAAACGTACAAAAGCATTTTGGTGAGAATTTTCCAGAAAAAAAAAAAGTTATTCGTGATGGAATTCTGGCGTGATAGTGTGATTTCTTTATATTTGGCTGCAAAACCACAAGTGGCTATCGTTAGAGCACTCCAGAATTTAAATGGGAATAAATATTTTGTGTCTCGTACAATCGCTCGTTACCGTGATACTGGTAGCGTAGACCGACGTCAAGGAAGTGTACGGAAGAAAACAGCAACATCAGCAGAAATGGTTCGAAAAGTAAAGAAGCGACTTGATCGAAACCCGCGTCGCAGTGGTCGAAAAATGGCTCATGAACTGAACATATCGCAATATTCCATTCGGCAAATATTGAAAAATGTGCTCGGTGTAAAGCCATTGAAATTCCAAAAAGTGAAAGAACTTGCACCGCATCAGAAAGAAAATAGACCCAAAAGAGCTAAAGATTTGCTTCTCTTGGCCAGAAGTGGTGAACTGCCGAATTTGGTTTTCTCCGATGAGAAAACATTCGTTGTCCAGCAGTATGTAAACAAACAAAATGATCGTGTTTACTTGCCAAGGAGTCAGCTGAAAATGTGCATCTTCGGTTGACCACCAGAACTAAAGCGCCGGCCATGATAATGGTGTGAGCCGCCATAACAGCCGATCGTTGCTCTCCGCTCGTTGCTTTCCGCTCGTATTAATCGACTGCGGCATCGGAATAAATGCCGAATATTATCGCAAAATTATTCTGGAGGGTGTATTAAAGGCTTGGACACACAAACATTTTGGCCATAGACCTTGGACATTCCAACAGGACCAAGAATGGTTACAAAATGAGATTCCTCGCTTTTTTTCCAACGAACAATGGCCACTAAAATCTCCGGATACCATTCCATTGGACTATTGTGTCTGGTGTATTTTGGAAAGCAAGGTTAGCACTAAAAAATACCAAAGTGTCGATCACATCAAGCAAGCGCGGAATGGGCCACAATACCACAGAGCAACATTCGGGCAGCGTGTGACGGCTTCATTGGCCCTTTGAAGGCCACAATTCGTTCCAAAGGTGTCCAATTCGAACAAATCTAAACTTATTCTAAAATTTGACGCCATTTCCGACATTTTTAGCTGTCATTCAATAAAATTTAAAAATTATGGCGTTCGACTTTATTGCCGTTTTTTACCTAACCCTGTAATCGGTCCCGCCCGACTTTTGACTTTTCCTTACTAGTTATTATTACAATTTGACATTCATCAAGAATACAGTATTTTGAGTCTATGAAGCACTTTAATTCCTCGAACCTTAAAATAATTAGATACTATTGATAAGCATTTGGAAAATGAAAATTTTCATAGCTGCAATCTTTGAGCACATAAGCGTTATGAGTGTAACATGATGCGTAAACTGTCCTTATATAACTCTGCTACAGACAGGTTTTTTCTATAAAGGTCAGATTGAAAAATCGTGGTAGACGTACCTAAAGATACTTATTTTTTAACATAATCTTTTACATTTCTAAAGCATATTTTTAGGCGTTACCAAAAATGTTTAAATCTTAAAAGAAGACTTTTAAATATAAAATATGAAAAAGTCAATTTCCACGTGACTAACATGATGTGTGCGTTTTACGAATAAAATACAAATAAAAGGGAAAACGTTTTCAGAAACAAAAAATAAATAATGAAATAAAAAATCAGATAAGGTATTTATTTTATCTAAATAACATGGATAACGTATAGACGCCATTTAAATACCACGAATAAAGTATCTTCGTTATGTAACACCTAAGTTATGTTACGCTGATGAATTATCCCACTTCTAAAAATTAAAAAAAAATTCTCATACAGAACAAATTTCCAAAACTTTTCAACCATGCCTCGCATTAACTTTCTTCTAGTAAATTAAAAAAATTGCATTATAGAAGACTAGAATTTGTAAATAATAAATTCACATGCCCATAAAAATGAGAATGGGAGATAAAGAAAATTTTGCTCATTTAAAACGACGAACATGAATTGAGTTCATGAAAAATCGAGGAGGTATCCTAAAAATAGCAATCGAGATGCTTAGAGCACCGATGGACAGTGTTCACAAGTGTTTGCAGCTTTTTTCTTCTAATTTCGAAAGCTGCCGAAGCCAGAGCAGATAACCCATACCAATGCAAACATCTTAGCTCTCCTGCTGAGCATTAGAAAGTTTTGGGCAACCACCTTTCTTCTTCTCTTTCGAACAAAGACAAATGTCAAAAATGTTTTACGTACCATTAAGTGGATGATCTCAATTTGAGAGAGAAAGGAAACTAAAACGAAATTGTCAAATGTCGTTTCGAAGAGGATCTATGATGGGCAATGCGATGATGGCTGCAGAATCAGTTTGTAAACATACGTGAATTGTAAAACATTACGCTGACAAATAGGCGGCAAACTGCTGCACGCGATTTGGTCGTACGCACCGACGAGTCAATATCTGGCATCCCATCAATTTGTTACGAGTTGGCGTTTCGGATATTTGTGTACCTTCTATTTTGTTCTTTTTTTTGCTTTTGAAACAACATGAAAATTATTATTTGATTTTTGGTTTCAGTTTGTTAGCCAAAATCAAGGCATTAGGCAAAAACCATCAACTTTTTTCCTTTAAATCGCATTGCTTGTGAACGTTTATTTTCGTTTCGTTGGGTCGCCAGCGGATTATTTTTAAATTAAAAAGACATCGTGTTTTTTTTTTTGTTTGTTCTGCTTTTCGATCACTCAGCCAAAGAAGTGAAAAGAACAAGCAAAGGAATTTAAATAATTTTGCTAACAACAATAGCCGACATTTGGAAACAATTGCGTATTCGAAAGACCTTAGCCACACGCCCACTAACGAACAAACGGCAATCGTTGACACAAGTGATTGACCATCAAAACGCTTGCAAGGCCATTCGCCGTGTAATGGAAATCTAATGGAATATTTATAATTATAGAGATATAACTAAAAAAGAAAAAGACCGTCAGTGAAGTGAAGTGGTTGAAGAAATCAAAAACAAAGAGTAAAAAACGTCCGTATGTTATGCAATTTGTGCAAGATTTTTGAAAAGCTGTGAATTTGTGTTCCCATATTATTTTTTGTTGCAAAACAACACACACATATAAAAAAAACAAAATGGAGTGGTATCCCGATGAAGATGAAGAAGATTTGATGTTCTCACCTGCCTTACTGGCTCGTCGAGCTTCAGAGAGTTGGATTGTAGAACCACCGGTTGAGGTTAATATATATTTTTAATTTTTTATCATTAGATGTAAATAGATTAAGGAAAAATCCCTTACTCAAGCCCATACATTGACTTGAGTTCCAATGTTCCAGTTTCCACTTCGTTCCAAAATCATCAGAAAATCCAAAAAAATGATTTGCCTTATTTAGATAAAGTCTGCGCCTCTGGTATGTCTGATTTCGACATTATGGACACTTTATAAATAAATAAATAAACCATTAAATTGATAACTTATCCGACTTTATTTTACTAAAGAAATACCATATCCGTGTTCTCTTTCTCCGAGGGGTGGGTAAACTTAAAAGAGGTTGATTATTAAAAAATCTCAAATAAATTGGGAGAAATCCAAAAGGATGTGATCTAAACTATTTACAATCACCACAATGTTGACCAAATTGGTTAAAAAACACGGCTAAGAACCCTCTTGGCCAAAGCCTGAAAATATGTTTACTAATTTTCTGAAGTTGTCTGTCTGCCTGGTGCCCATTTAGACTACCAATTCACAATCAAGAATTAAAAAAAAGCAAATAAGTTCGGCTGGGCCAAACAATTTTCAAAATATTGAAAATGTGCTTAAAATTAAGGCTATACGAAAACATGGAACGGTATAGGAAATTTTCTCTCGTAGCAGGTGATAACGTTAGGAATTACAAATACCGATTTTTAGAGAAAAAATGATAGAAAATGTAGCGAAAATTGTGGAAATACCGAATATTGGGAGGTAACGATATATGGGGGCTATAAGCAAACCTGGACCTATATAGGCAGTGTTCTACCAAATGAACTCCAAATATCGAACTTTTAATAACTCCATTGGAAAATGTTTCCAAAATCTTCAAAATACCTAATCTGGGAAGGTACATTGACATTAGAGTCTTTCAAAAACGTAGACCTTTGTAGACAAATAACAAATTTGAAAAAACTTTCCTTGAAAATATCAGAAATCATCAGATTATATAAACAATATTATAGAGCACTTCTCGGATCAAAAATATGAAATTATGACTGTTCAAAATTAAGCCAAATGGTGAAATTCGGTTGAATATGAAAAAACCTATTCAATTCGGGCTGGTATTACATATATGGTGAGCAATGCCGTATATAAAAATTTGAACCGATCTCGATAAAATTTGGCAAAGGTATTTTCGAGCTGTATATGATATCCTTTATCAAATATCATTGGTGTGGATATTTAAACACCAAATCGAATGAAACATATATATGGGAGTTATATCTGAGCCGATTATCTCCAAATGTGAAATACTTGTCTCTAGGCTGAATTCGGTCGGATGTGACAAAATACAGATCATTTGGACTGATATTGGCCAATTGGTGCACAATGAACCCGAAATCTTTTGAAGATATATATGGGAGCTATATCTAAATTTGAGCCGATTCTCTCCAATTTCAATAGGATTCGTGCTTGGGCCAAACAAATATTGTTTGGAAAATTTCATCGCAATCGGATAATAAATGCGACCTTCATTGTGTTCACAAAAATACATGGACGGACGGTGATTATATGAAGATCCTCAAAAGTAACTATAGGTCTATATCGCCTCCTTCTCCATGTTACAAACAAATGCACAAAGACATAATACCCCAACCACTATGTGGTGTAGGGCATAAACACATACAGTTTGATATCCTGCCGATTCGCTTCAAATCTCTGGTGTCGAGGTATTCAATACTCCAAAAAAAAATCCTCTACTCTATGGTGATAAAATCTAAAAATTAATGAATGTATGGGTGGTTGTGAAGAGAAAGTATAAGTTAAAATAATGGTAAATAAAGTAAAAAGAGAATGAGCAACAGGTTTTCTCCCAGAAGAGAAACAGTTCTTTTTATAGAAGAGCAATAGCTACTTTCGTAGAAGAGCAACAGTTTTTCTTGTAAGAGAGCAGTAGTTTCTCTCGTTGAAGAGCAACTGACTTTCTCAACTCGCGTAAAATATAAACCGTTCACCTGATCCAAAACAGACTCCGTTAAGCTCGTCTATGGGACTCCTTTTCAGCTCGTCAAAATAAAAACCCCTTTCGCTCTCATATAGATCCTTCCTTCAACTTTTTACCTGCATATTGACAAACTGCAAAAATTTTCGGCTGATCTACTTTGAATTTTGCGTAGATCAAGAAATATATACTTTGTTGGGTCTAATGAGTTTGTTTCGAAAAAATGTAAATTGTATGATAAATATAATATGCTATCCTTGCAGCGCTGATGGACATAAACATATTTGTAAAGTTTGTAACCTATTCGGGTCTCCCATCGGTTTAAATTAGTTCGATTTTGTTCGAAATGTTGATCATTTGTGGGGAAGGTAAAAGATATTGTCCAGTCTTCAAATCGATCTAAGTTTTTTTTTTACAGTTTACTGTTTGAGACCCAACCCTCAATGGCTCTATCGGCAACAAATTTTCCGAAAATAATTTCCCCATTTATAAATATCATCACTACAACGAATTGTCTATCTATAGCGAAATATATTGGAAAATATAGCTAAACCCTTAAAAATATCTTATAATTACCAATATCGTTATAGAATTTTAAATTGTCTAAATAGGGATAATGACTAAATAAATAAATATAATATTTATATATAAATGAAATAATGTATACATAAATATAATAATATAAATCTAATTGATTATATTCTTAATTTCCAGAGTGTTCCCATTAATGTAACATTGCAACGGAAAAAATCATTACCCGATTTCCAAGAACTGCCACGTGCCACAGAGGCTATGAGCCGCGAAGAGGTGTCTGCTTTGGGCTCAGCAAGACGCGAAGCGGTAAGACGACAAATCGAAATGAATGAAAAGCTCAAAGCGAATCCATTGTTGTATCTCGTCAGTCCACAAGTTAAAGTAAGTAGCGAAAGCAATGCATAATATATTATATGTTAGCAGAAATGAGAAGCCTTTAGTTCTATAAGTCCACTGATTGTGTGAAAAAAATATTTATATAGGTCATAGGGTTGTATGAACGAACGTACATAATGTCCGAGGATATATTTTTCCACTTGTTTCTCACACGAATTATTTGCCATGTTTTCGAACTATCTATGACCTATAGAAGCGATTTTAAGTCACCTTTTCCTCTGTTGAAATATCGAACATTGGTTTTATTGAATTGTATTTGGTTTTACGAAACCTTGTCTAGATTTAAAGAATCATATTTTTTCTCCAACTATCTATGTTACACTGTATCAATATACCACATTATATTCGAATAACCGTCCGTTTTAATACTGTTTTTCTATTACGAACTATTTTAATATTACTTTTGTATAAAACTTTATATGTTTGACAACTAACTTTCGCTTCCGTTTGTCTAATTTATTTTCCCCAGGATTGGTTCTCACGACAACAGTTGGTGCTCTTGGTGCTTTTTGTAAATATCATATTGGCCATAATCTTTTTCAAGATGCTGACATAGCGAACACTTTCGCCACCTCTTCATCAATTATTGTTGGACGACAGACAGATGCAGCAGCAGCAACAGCAGTTCCCGGAAATACCAAAGCTAGAACAACAAGAACAAACATTTAATACAACTTTGTTTCGTTTAGACTCAGTTTTTCTTAGCCAGAGAGCAGCAGAAGCACAATCGACATCATGTCATAGTTCTACACAAACTTCGTTTATGGGAAGGAAGAAATAAGATAACATCCTGGTTTTATGGCTGGAATGTGAAAAACAAACAAGGTCTCCGGCAGCCTCTCTTCTGTTTCTGTCTCTCTCTTCCACTCTTAACTATCTATCATTATATAAAATAATTTTAAATCATTTGAATTTAAACAAATGTCTTATTTAATAATTTATTTTTCTAAATACATAATTATATATTAATAAATATTATATACTTTATATTTATATATATAAAAACTAAATATATATTTATATAATTTATTTAGCATTTGCAGTAAAAGAAATGAAAACAAATAAAAACATGAATGAATGAAAAACAAACAAATGTAAAGAAACAAAACGTAAGTGAAGCAAGAAAAACAAACAAACACACACACATTTACTTCAAATACCTATTTAGACTGCAGAAATTTGTCAAAAACAAAAGAAGAATAAGAATTATTAATTTTTAATTGTTGTAATCAAGCGAAACAATATATTAGAATTTGAAAACCAAATAATATGTACATTGTATATATTTTTATTTATTTATTTTTAAAAAAAAAAGCAAACAAAGAAAGAATGAAGAGTCGCTTGGCTGACTCAACACAACACACAATCATTGTTACAAAAAAGGCAAACAAATCGATGATTGTCAGAGGAAAACAATTTTTTTTTGGTCAAGCATTTCATTTTCAGAATGCTGTAAAATCAAACTTCCCCGCCCTTTCCCTCCAAACGCAACCAACCAACCAATAAGAGAACAAAAAAAATTAAATATAAATAAATTTAGTATAGCAAATATATAAACTTAAATAGAAACTACGAGAAGAACAACAAATATGCTGAGACAAAAAAAAGAAAACTTTAAAAATATATATTTAATAGAAACACTCTTTAAAAAACAACAACAAACGAATTTTGTACACTTTTTAAAAGCTCTACTAAATTATATTAGCGAACAAAAAATAATAAAATTAAAATTACTATTAAAATTCAAAATTATTTCCAAAAAAAGAAATCAAGATTACATTTCTGAAATTACATCCCTCTCCACCAAATGGCGAAATGATTTTCTTCTAATTCTATTTTTTTTTTAAATCCTGTTAATCATTGATGCAAAAAAATATATCGGGGAGTTATGTACCCATAGGAAGTGGATTAATGTGAAAATTCTATAAAAATAAAATACAATCTAAAAATAAATACCAGTTTAATTCCAACCTTTTTGTTGAGAGAATTGTTTATCAGGCATCTGAAGCAAAGTGGACAATATTATGCACATTTTTTAAGTTATGTGACCCCATGGGTTCTTTAGGGCTGAAAAGATTTTTAATAAGGGCATTTTGGTTTTCGAAACTACACTTGGTCAATAAGTGTTTTATTTTACAGGCCTTTTTTGTAACAGGAAAAGGAAATTTCAGGATTTTGTTTTCTTTTTGTGACCCCATGGGTTCTTAAGGGCTGTATGGATTTTTGATTGAATATCAAAGAGAGAATTAAGAATTGAAGCCGAACGGGAAATATTAGGTCTACATTACAGGCCTTTTTTGTAACAGCCAGAAATACAGATTCGGCTCCTGACAACCTCGGTGATAACAGTCGCTTGTCTATGATTTATAATTTTCGGCATCTGAAGCAAAACGGGCGATTGGTTTTGCAAAAAGGAAATTGCAGATTTTTTTTTGGTTCTTAGAGCTGAATGGAATTTTGATTAGGGCGTAATGGTTTTCGAAACTACACAGGCGTTTTATTTTGGAATATCAAAGATAGAATCAAGAATTTAAGTCAAACGGGAAATATTGGGTCTACATTACAGTCCTTTTTTGTAACAGGTAAACAGAGAGCCTTGATTCCTCCGTAATAATAGTCGCTTGTCTATGATTTTTAATTCTTGGCATCTGAAGCAAAGCGGGCAATTGTTTTTGCAAAAAGAAAATTTCAGATTTTATTTTTGTTTTTTTTTTGTTTTTTTTTTTTTTTTGACCCCATGTGATTATTGACAAGGGCATTTTGATTTTTGAAACTATACAGGTGTTTTCTTTCTAAATATCAAAGGGAGGATCAAGAATTGGAGCCGAACAGGAAATATTAGATCTACATTACAGCTTTTTTTCGTAACAGCCATAAATACAGATCCTAACCACCTCGATGACAACTGTCGCTTGTCTATGATTAATAATATTCTACATTTTGTAGAATCCAATTCAATTGGTTTTAGCTCCATATGAATGGACAACATTAAAAATTTTAATTATGGGCTATAAGTATAGCAAATCTCAATTTTTTCTAAAATCAAATACGATGCGTGGAAAGATTAGTCATTTTCGTACCTTTGGAGTTATAAAACAATACCTTTTTCTTAATGAAATCAGATGGGCACAAATAGCATCAGTTTGTTTATATCTCTTTCGTGATGAACTTTATGGTCTGAAATACACAGTGAAATAGAAAGCAAAAACTTTGAAATGATAACTCACATTTGTTGCTGTAAGCAACAATTCAATACAAATTCATATTTTTTATAAAACAAACAATTTCATAGTTCCTTTGTATGATAAAATTTAAAGGTAAACACACCTTGAATAAAACGACTTTTTGATTGACTTCATTTGGCTGAAGTTTTAGATCAAGTATCTGATATATTGTGGAATCGCAAAAAATATGTGAATAATTTGTGAGAATAATTTTTCGGGGCCTCCCAGTCACACATCAAATTGTCTTGCGAAAATGTATGCAACTTTGACAGTATTTTTAAATGTTTATACCTGTTAGAAGAGAACTTGTCCAAAACAATAACGCAATGACATAATCCACTGCTACATTACAAAGGACAATGTTGTAAATAGTCCATAGCTTCTGGATCACGTAGTCCAGAATTATTTGCAGTGATATAGTTGTGATTCGAAAAGTCAATTTGCAATGTGACGAGGACTGACTCTGATTGATGTTATTATTTTGAAACTTCGTTGAAAGATTTTGACTTACATCAGCAACAAATTGAACAAAAAATTAAATTGTTACAGATGTGAGATTAAAACGTAAACTATCGACAAAATTTAATAGTTACACGACCTAGTTTTATAATATATTTATTTTTATATCTATTTTCTAATAGAAAATTATCACAATTTTTATGAAATGTATCATATAACTCGATTACATACACAAAAACACTCAATAAACTACGCGTATACATAAATATTTATAAATAATTATGTTTGCTTAATTATTTTACTTTTTTCTATTTGTTTAGTTAAATAAATGTGTTTCTTTTCAACTGTTTGTTTTTGTTCTTTATTTTAAATATATAAATCAAATAGAATTTATTTAATTATAACAAAATATAAATAAATTTGAATAAATGAAATCATATAGAAACAATGACCTAAAGTTCGTAGAAGTTTTGATGGAATATATTATTTTAACACGAGCAAAATATTTAGCTGTAAAATGGACCACAACAACAAACAGCACGACGGAGTGCGTAAATATTGGGCAAATGTCCTTGGTCAAAATGCTAAGGTAATGTCTGGGCAGTGCTCCGTGACATAGTTTCAAAATCGAAATCTTCTAAAATGGATTTTGACATAAACGGGGCTTCTAACATATTGTAGTGTTGTAGGGTATCACATGGTCGGCCCCGCACGACCATAGCCTTTGCTTACTTTTTATAAAATATGATTTGTTTTGTTTCGGAGTATTATTCTAATATCCTTGCTATTTGTCTGCAAAAATCTATCACACATTGCCCCAAGCAAACTGTACAATAAGGACCAAATATGTAGCTAAAACTGAAGCTGATGTATTTTCATCAAAAAAAGTTGAAAGGTTAAAAACTCTACTCCATGGGATTGCGTAATTTCCACAATCTTCTTCCTAAAAGTCACCCTCGATTTCAAATATTTGTTTTTTAATATCTAAGTTTTTAAATTCGCCTTGGTTTGGGAAACATATATCTTCGAATTTTTCTCTAACACTAATAAACACAACAAAAAACAAGTGCAATTACTCTAAAGATTGGCAAACTATTCGTATAAGTCTAAACTATTGAAAAACCCCAAAAAAATCTAAACAAGACAAAACATAACTAAGATCCAAATTAAAAAAAAACTAAAACATTTTTATACGTATCACTTTTTTCGGAATGGAAACCAAAAAGAATAAAGAGAAAAACTACTTATGATTGTTAAATCAAGCCAATAAAAATGGCTTAACAAACAAGAAAATCAAACCAAATTTTTAAATAATTAATTTAGAGATAAAATTTGTAAATCATAAGGCCAAAACAATGAGAAAAACAAAGAAAAAAATACATTTAAAGACAAACATAAAATAGTAAGCATTAAAAAATATATTACGACATTATTTTGTTTTTGAAGCTTACAAAACAGTAACAACAACAAAACAATATTGGAATTATAGTACTGATTTTGCAAGCGATCAGTTTTTATTCTCAAAACTAAAGTAAACATTTACCAAAGCTAAAAAACAACCTATTTAATTATAAACAATGAACAAATATTAGCTTTCATAAATGCTCGCATGTCATGGGCCCTAAATATTATATATTCATACTACATACCAAAAAATATATACATATATATATACATACATATATTGTAATCAAAATACCAACAAAAATGCATCCCATTATAATAATACAATTTTAAGAACAATGGGAATCTGAAGAGACATTTTGAATGAAATTCAATGAAAATTCAAATAAATGCTATCATAAAAAACCAAATGCAGTATTTCAATTTCTTAAAGAAGTAAAAAGCCGTAAGAACTTTGGATACCTTCCACCATTTGGAACGAATTTGGCAATTTAAAAAAAAATAAAATCCGTTAAAAATTTTGTTAAAATCTTAAAAATACCAAATATAGCCGTAATATTAAGGTCTAATAGACGAAATGGACCTGCATAGGCAACTTTTGTCATAAGCCATTACAATATTCAAATGCGAAACTTGAAAAAAATATAGGGAGGAACCGTTATTTGGGGGTCTATAAGAAGACGTGGACCTGCACAGACAATTTTTTGTCATATGCTGTAGTATCCATTACGAACTTCAAATACCAAATTTGAAACAATTCCGGTGAATAATGTCGCTAAAATCAACAAAGTACCGAATATCGGGAGGGACCGTTATATGGGAGCTATACGAAGACGTGGACCTGCACATACATTTTTCTATCTTAAGCTGATGATGTAAACAAATGCATGTATAAAAATGTTTGCAAAAAAAAAAAAATTATTTTTGTCAAATCCTCAAAATTAATCTTCCACAATATCACGATGAGGTCAAGTAGTACTTTTTGAAACGATTATTACCCCACCGATTTTAGAAATAAGAATCGATACTCATAACATTTGTCTTGGATTATCCTTTAAAAATTTTAAAGGACAATAAAGCAAATCTAACATTTGCCTATATTTAATAGCTTATGGAGAAACAATATTTTGTTTATTAGAATACTGGTCAAGCAGTTAATGTTATATGGAGTTATCTTCATATTTTCCAATTTAGATTGACAAAAAGTATTAGTCTGAGACACACAAATGGATCAAGAATCATAAAAGATATAACTAAATCAAAATTTAAAATATTGGAATCAATTCCAAATAGATACAATGTAAAATATATAGAGGGATTAAAACTAATTTAAAATAAATTAATTTGAACTTACCCCAGATATTGGTGCGTGGTATCTAAAAAAATAAAAAGTTTTAAAATCAAAAAAACTAGCCTAATTAGATAAACTTACCTCACTTACTGCCGATGGTAAAAACTTTCATAAATGACGAAAAGTTGCACTAAAATCCTAGATCCGCTTGAACATAGTATTTGAGAAGGAATTTCCAAAATGGTAAATCTTTAATTATGTCCATGGAATTTATGGAGCAATAACGTAATTTATTAACACAAAAGATATCTCTACAACAGTTGCACCAGTACCCAACAAAGTTATATAGTCTTGAAAACTGTTGTGTGGAATTATTACATGCATCCTCGCTTCAAATTTTCCCGACATCCATATCAATGAATATTTTTCAAGGGCAATCGATTCCACAATGTTTAATAAATTAACGAATTTGTAACCGAAACCTATTTTAATATTTGAACATTGCCGTTGTGATTGAACTCAAAAACTTTCCAGGGGATCACTTTTAGTTCCAGAAGTAAAATGAAAGCCATGTCAGGACTTCTTTCATGCCAAAGATATAGTCTGGAATTAGATGCACTCATGACTTAATAAATCATCTGGTATTGAACATTTGCCAGAGTATTTATTACCCGAGAAATTGGTTTGAGTCACAGGATCAGGAGCAAATTGATGAAAAATTTAAAATAATTTATCTTGGAAGTTTTAACGCATTTAGTATTCTATGTTTGTACTTACCTCAGAAAATTGGACACTTCCAATGCAAATTAATTGCAAAATTTTCACTTTCTGTCGTATAGGACTTATTCCATCTTATATTCCGAATACACAGTATGTTTCTGTTCAAAAAGTCCTGATTAGGTTTGGGTTCATTGGCCATTTCCAATTAGAATTCGAGCACGTTACATGTCTAGCTTTAACAGGATTCCATTATTTGTTGTTGGTTATATTAGGGAAGGCCGAAAAAAGCGGGCAAGGCAAAATCAATCAGGGCTATTTGATCTGGGAAACATGTTCTTGCATGTTCCAAATTGGTTGTTGCATGGCAAATATATATTCTTCGACGTTCCAATACGAGAAGTGAACAAAAAAGTATGCTAGACACTTGAAAGTACGCCAAATAACTTCCTCTAACACTGGCTTTTTGCTTATCAATAGTTTTTTCGACCGATTTACATTTGTTATTTATCATTATTTCATATGGTTGTTCTATTGCCATATTCACTTCAAAAAATTCTTTTCCCCAAATTCTTTTACCTAAAGCACTCGCGACTAAAGGAAACCGACAACAATTGCCACCGAAACGCATTAAAATCCCTCCTTTTTTATTCAGAATGCCAATTATACAGCAAATTTTGCGCGTTAACGTAAACTTGAACTTTTGCAGACTCAGTGTTGCATTTTTGAGCAATTGTTGCCACATTTCATACAAATATAATATTAGGGAGACTCACATTACAATGATTGTTGTTTACTTTCCCTTACAATAATGAAACTTGACTTTGTTAATGATCTCCCCTTGTTATGCGGAATAATAAATAAATTGGGTCCGTTAATATTCTAATGGTCAAATACAAAATTCGAAAACTACAATTTTGTTGAATTCTCTTAATTTCCTTGCACGATATTGCAATTTCGTGAGTACCCTTCAAAAAACTAAAAATTACAATTTGGATGACAAAACTTAATAATTAATAAACATATCCGCCAAAAATAAGTTGCCGGTCAAGCTACCATATATTGCATACCCGAATTTTCGTATAGATCAATATGTCTGTTAACTATCTTTCTAGCTCATAACCTTGCCTTTTTTGACAAAATTAAATCGAGTTCGATTATTAGCTCAAGACAAATAGTGAAAAAATAGTAACAATTATGTATCTTTTAAAAAAAAACGAAATATGTTTCCGATTTCTTTTTATTAGGACTATAAATAATATATTGTTGTATTACATCCCATGGTACAATGAATACAAGGTAGGCTAACTTTGAAAAAATTGCAAGTATAGATGTCTACCTGTTTGGCTTGTAATGTCAGAATTACTATAAAAATAATTAAAAAGCAAACAACCTGTTGCATTGATTTTGAATAAATAATTTAAAACCGCGAAAACTGAATGAAAGGTCAAAATTTCTTTTCAAAAACATGTTCTATATATCTCCTATGGTTTATTTCGCGACAAAAACTGTAGATTTTGTTGATGCATACGATGCATAAGCATTTTGAAAACTCCTAAATTTGAATATTTTCTGAACATTTTTTTATTATTGAAAATAATACACATACATAAACAAATGAAGTTGACATATTAAGCCAGAAAAATAAAAAATTAAAATCATATGGTAGTACTGCCCTACCTTAAATTCATTGTACCATATTACATCCATACAAAGGTTTAAATATTTTCTATAAGGTATATCGCTTTAACAAACGGGTACAATATTCGGATGTATGCTTTTGATATCCTCAAATAAAAAAATTACATTTTCTCTCGTCCAGAACTGCAAGAATGTAAAAGTTTTTACTACGATAAAGTCGGTTATCCTTCCTTATGAAATCGAAAAAAAATTGAAAAACCTGTCGATTCTTGTAGGTTCTGGAATAGAGCAATAGCTAGCTACCAGCTGATTACAATTGTTTTCTAAGTGTGCCCGACTTCTGCCATTTTTATGTATTTATGTATTTATTGTTTTGAAAAATGAAAACAAAATATTTTGAAAACCAATGATTGGAAGACATATAGATTTCGGTTCGCTCATTAAATCCATTAACCAGGTTAGCCATGAATTTGAAAGATTGAACAGTTTGGATCATATTTTTGAGCAAAAATCCGGGCATTTCATTTCTTTTTCGCGTTTTTTACTCATTTTAAAAATAAGGAAAAGTATGTTTAATGAGCCTGACACAAAGCGGGCATAGCTTCAGGGCTGTATTTCTGTGGTAATAGTGGTAAGTTTTTAAAAACCTCTTTTCTGTTCCTGCAAGGCTCTAAATCTTTTTACTACAATAACCTATTTTCTTTTTATGGTATCGAAGAAAAACGCAAAACTAGTAGATTCCTGCAGCTAGTACATTTAAATAATTCTGCTCATATTGTATCTAGAACGATATATCGCTATAATTCTTCTTGCACGTAGCGCCGCCCTGTTGCAACCAAATGTTGCCAATGTGCTCCTCTTCAATTCTTGTGAACAAAAACACGTTCAACATGGCCCTCTGGATTAAAAACCGCACCAAACAGTGATTCGTCTTGGATGCACCGTGAATATATGCGTACGAGGTTTCTGTGCATCAAAAGCGAAACATTTTGGCCTGTTCCAGAACTAGAAGATTTGTGACATTCTTGAACATCGAAAAAAAAATTGTGAAACAAGTTGATTCTTGCAGGTTCTGGAACAGAGCATTTGCTTTTTTTATATATGGAGCTGATGCTTCTTCTCTTCTTCCAAAATACACATTCTGCAATTTAATGTCGCAATATGTCCCAGCGTTGTTCAAATGCTAAATGGATGGTCATGTACAACAACAAATGATTATTCCAGATTGATACTGCCTGTGTGTTCCAGAAACTGCAAAATAATACGATTTTTCCGCTATAATAATAATAATAATAATAATAATAATAATAATAATAATAATAATAATAATAATAATAATAATAATAATAAGGAAAATGGTTTTTCTTAGTAACATAGTTAAATTCTAGTAGATTCTGATGCAGACCTTTTTATTTCTTGTTTTTGTTATATTTATTATTTGCATTGGAACAATTGGCCTTATATATTTTAATTAGTTCCAATAAATACGTGGAAATTTCGCCAGAGAGAAAGAAAAATAAAAGTTAGTATTATGAAGAAGGATCGAAGAGAAAGTGTAACTTACTTTTTTCAAGTCCTTCTGTTCAACAAGACTTAAGCTGGGAATACATAAAGCGCATATTTGGCTGGCTTAAGTCATCGGTTGGCTTCTTCGTAAATGAACAAAGGAGTTTTAGGTTGACCTAGTTCGATTTTGGCCCTAGACTCCTTTGTTCACTTCCGAAGAAGCCAGCCGATGACTTAAGCCAGCCAGATATGCTCTTTATGTATTTGCAGCCTTATATTTCTTTTCAATCCAGATTATTTATTAACAGTCATATTCTGATTTCATTTTATGGCCATGTGAACCCTCTTAATACTTTTAAAATATGCGTGCAACAAATAAATGTAAAAGTATGGCAACATGTCAACATCTAATAAGAATAAGCAACGCAACTCTGTGCTGCAACATTTCCGTGAGTGCGCCAAAACTTTGTGGCAAAGCTTTCAGCAATTAGTTTCCAATTCATGATTGACCATGCTTAGAGTTGCCACATAGATAGGCTTGATAACATTGCCATCGTAATACGGCAACTCACTGTCGGAAGAATTGGCAAGAAAAACACAACACTGCAAGGATGATGATGAAGCTTTTGTTAACGCGCCAATTTTTGCCAGTTTCCTTCCTCCATTCGTGAAAAAATATGTCGGTACGGTAGTAATTGTATTTTTTCAAGCATTTTCGTTTCGCGTCGCGAGTGTTTAATGTAGTATCCGGGAAATAGAGTCTAGAAAATTGAGAATATTTCTAGAAAAAATATTCCTAACAAATATTACAACTTAAAGAAAATACAAAAAAATGGAATTTTGTGAAACTCATTAGAAAACCAAAATGACAAATTGCAAAAAGAAGATAGAATTTTGTCGAAAAAATATTTAAAGATATAATTAGGACAATACTGCTTCACGTCCATTGGTTTAATGTGTAACTTAAATGGAAACAGGAAACCGTCTTCCCATTTCGATCAAATTGGAACGGAATATGCTTTCAAATTGGATATGACCAGAAATATTTCAATTATCGGGCGTGCATGTGTTTGTTAATTTTGATTGTGTTCGGTTCGGTACGGTAACGTGTTTAAAAAGTGTATAAAATCTGGACGATCTTATCGAGATATTAACATCTTTGATTGGTCAAAACTGCAGAAGCATTATCTAATTCCCAAAACGATGACAGAAAAGGGTAGAAAGGTAAGTTCAAATTTAATTGCAAAAAAATTTAGAATTTTTTAAATTTATAATTCTTTAATTTTTTACTGTAGCATAAATCCATTGAAAAGTATCCAAAAATGCTGTTACTCGTTCGAAACTGGTGAAGGTGCCTTATCCTTTCAGAAGGAATGCCAAAGTGTTCATACATTGTTATAATATCGATCGATGTAATCTACAAATCTGTCCCTTCGAATCTTATAAGAAAAGCGGTTGTGTAGACAGTTTTTATCGAAGCAACAATCTAGTGATTCCGAAAAATAGACGAAGTCATACTCGATATGTATGTACACATATTCAATGATTCAATAAGACGCGAGAGATTTCGAAAGAACAAATCGGGAGAAACAAGATTAAATATATCGGTAAGTTATAAAATTTTATGTAAGATTTTCATAAAAATTTAATTTTGCATATTAATTTTAGATGTCAAATGTTATTCATCGTTCGCGTCTGGTGAAGATCAATTATTTTGGGGTAAGTTTACTGAAAATTTATTTTATTTTTATTGGTTTATTCGATATCAATGTACAGAAAGCCTTCAAGGTAAATTATATATGCAATGGGAGATTACATAATTCCAATACAATGGAAATGAAAAACATTGCCAAATGGGCCATTTTATTTGGAGTAATTTTCTAAATATAGTTTTAAATTGAAGTGCAGAACTGTAGTTGACAGGGATGAACAGAATTAAATTTTGGATTAAGAAACAGGACACATTTTCTGGCTCACCTTTGGAGTTTTAATCAATTAAAAATTCAATTATATGTCGATCTAAAAATGAAAACGAACGAAAAACAACTTAAATTTAATTTCTGAATTTGCATTTTTGGAAACCTAGGAGTTTTTCTCTCACATTTGATAAAGATAATTACATTAACAATTTCTTAATCTTATATGACCCATTAGTATAGTCAAATATGATGTTGAAGACTGTTATTGAAAAGTTTGAAAAAAACATATTTATACCATCATCCTCCAGAATATTTTCGCCATAATTTATTTATTCTCATGCCACGGTCGATTAAAACGAGCGGAGAGCGACCATCAGCTGTTATGGCGGTCCACACCATCACCATGGCGGGCGCTTGAGTTCTGGTGGCAAACCAAAGGTGCACATTTTCAGCTGACCTCTTTGGCAAGTAAACACGATAATTTTGTTTGTTTACAAACTGTTGGACAACGAATGTTTTTTCATCGAAGAAAACCAAATTCGGCAGTTCACCACTTTCGGCCAAGCGAAGCAACTCTTTAGCTCTTTTCAGTCTATTTATTTCTTTCTGTTGCGGTGTAAGTTATTGCACTTTTCGCAATTTCAATGGCTTTACCCCGAGCTCATTTTTCAATATTTGCCGAATGGAATATTGCGTTATGTTCAGCTCACGAGCCATTCTTCGGCCACTGCGACGCGGGTTTCGATCAAGTCGCTTCTTTATTTTCGAACCATTTCTGCTGATGTTGCTGTTTTCTTCCCTCCATTTCATTGACGTTGGGCTACGCTACCAGTATCACGGTAACGAGCGATGGTACGAGACACAAAATATTTTTTCGCATTTAAATGCTGGAGTGCTCTAACGATAACCACTTGTGGTTTTCCAGCCAAATATAAAGAAATCACAATATCACGCTTGAATTCCATTACGAATATCTGTTTTTCTGGAAAATTCTCACCAAAATGCTTTTTTACGCTTGTAAAAAATATAATGAGATGCCACCTGAATAATTTTAACCGCTGTCGGACGAGAGGCTTAGAAATGACAGCAGTCTGAAGTTGGTTGCAGTTTTTTCTTCTCATCCTGTATAACTATCTTTCAATCTAAATATCTATCTATTTATCTATGTTTACATTAAATTCATTTATAACAGAAGAAACAATCTAAATAGAATGTTTTAGAAAAACGAATGTTTAATATAGTATTTATTGTTTTAAATTATCAAAAATTGCTGATTGCTACAATATTTTATAAATATAGGTTGGTTTGCTTGTTAAATGATATATAAAGATTTTTTTTTTATTTTGCGTTGATGAAACGAAAAGTTTTAAGTTTCGCATTATAGAATTTTGTTTTGTTCTGTTAGCCATTTTCCATGAAAATAAACACAATTGATGATTACTAATGCTGTTTTTTTCAGACTGAATAACTAATAAATTAACACCACAATTATTATTGTTGTTGTTTATAGCAAAGGTTTAATAATAATTTACTTGATTTTGGTTTAAAAAAAATCAAGTAAATTATATTTTTTATTAAGGAAAACCAAGAAAGTTTTTTTTTCGAGTTGGCATCACTTTTTTTTCTTACTACTAAAGATTTGTAAAAATCAAATCTTTAAAATCTGTTTGGAAAACTTTTAACCTAGAAACTAAAGAGATAAAAAGGAAGAAAATAATAAAAGAAAACAGATGAAACTTAAAACGTTTGAAACAACATTAGAAATGAAAACTAAATACAAATGGTAATAATGGCCTACTAAACTTAAGAAATGAGGACTAAAAGCCAAGAAACTCATAAGGCTCCTGGTTTTAGTGAGAATGAAAGTTTTGGTCGTGAATTGTTTTTCCCTAAAATGACTTTTTGTTCCTCTTTTACGCGCTTCTCTTGTTCTTTGCGCATACGCTGACGTTCCTCGTCCATCAGTCGTTGTTCTTCGATAATGGCCAAACGTTCTTCAGCCTGGAGAGGGGAAAAAATAAAAGCAGGGTTATATTTCCTTTTTAAAAACTCAATATTTTACTCATGACTTACCAGTTTTCGCTGGGCTTCTTCAATTTTACGATTGTTTTCAGCCAAAATTTCTTCTAGCTCCTCGCGTTTTTTCTTTTCCTCTTCCTATAAATTAGGGAAATAATATACGAATGTTATTAAAAACGAATTTTATATGTAACAACGAAAACGTATAAATTAAAAACTAAACTGTGATTTAGAATTTAAACAAAAAAATTGATTTATTTCTTTTTTTCAAGAATGGAATAAAACAATTTTCATTTGGGAAATTGGTAATTGCATATTTTTTTGTTTTTGCAAGTTTAACATTTGAGAGGAGCGCACGCTGCTCGAATGACAGTTACTATTCATAGGATATATATACATACACATAAATATGTAATTGTTTAAAATATGGTGATACTTAACACTAAAAATAAAATTTTGTTGATTTTTTCTTTGTTTGATTTAAAAAGTTCATTTTGAGAGTTCTTTCATTGATGAGTGGCCTTCTTCTTTGCCATGTATGAGTGTTTTTTTCTGTGTTTTTTATTTAATCCATTTAAATTTGAAAATTTTTACTTACAATTATTTTTTATGAACACCGCGTTTCCAATACTTTTTGCATTTTATATCAAAATATGTATGTACAACATGTTATTAACAATTTTACTCTAAACATGTTATATCATAGCAACAATAACAACAACATTAACAAGAACAAAACATTGCAACAATGGTCGTTTGAACTTAAAAAAGAGGTATACAATTGTTTGACTCATATTTTTGTCATCTTCAAGTGATCTAAGATAGATGGAATGTTGTGCTAAGACAGATGGGATTCTCTTTTGTCTTCGGAAAGATCAGAGATTGTAATTTTTTTTGTGACTTCAAGTATATGTTTTATGTTTATAGACCAGTTAGTTCCATGTTATTCTTTGTTTTCCCTTTGTTTGAGAGATCGTTCCTGCCAGCCGCCACATGTCCTGTTCATTGCAGGATCATTGCATAAGGAATTTGTAGTTTCTGATTTTTGCGTTTATTCCCTGGTTGCTGATGCTAAATAGAAAACTTACTTCCTTTTTTAAGTCCACAACTGGTCTAGGCTCTGCTACGAAGGCTTTCTTTTTTGGTTTTGCCTTTTCTGAGATCGGTAGTAGTGGTTGTTGTACTTAGAACTTTGGAGTCGTTTTAAATTGTGTTTAAGTATTCAGGTTGTGTTTTTTTTTTTTTTGTAATTCAGTGTTTTTGAGTGTGTTTCAAAATATACAAGCAGAGAGCAAACACAGTACAGCAACACCTACCCGTTAAGAGGTAAGCCAGCCGTCCTTGTCTGCCCACACATATAAAATGGTTTGTTTTTTGTCAAAACTCCCTAAGAAGTTTTTTCAAAAATCAAAAATATTCGTTTCTTTTGAGTTTGTTTTTTTTGGAAAAATATAAATAATTAATAATTTGAACATACAAAAATCCTTAGTAGACTTTGTAGTTAAAGATTAAGTGTGATTAGAGGTGAGAATGAGAGAGGGGGGCGGGGTGGGGTGGTTGAGGGGAGAAAGCAAATGTTTTTTGTTTGTTTGGGGGTACATAGGACACAAATGTTCACATGATAACTATGAACACATCTGCTGTTTTGGGATAAAGGCTTTTGATGGTTAGGATGTTGAAAAGTTTAATGTTATTCATCGTCTTCATTACGATCATCATCATTGTAAAGGCTTGGAGTGTTGTTAATGTCACACAATAATAAGCTGCTCCAAGTGGTTTAGAAATTCCCTGAAAACGAGCACCTACCTCTCTGCGGCGTTCTTCTTCGCGTATCTGTTCACGCCTTCTCTCTAATTCTAACATCATTTCACGTTCCATTTCAGCTTTGGCTTCTTCAACGCGACGCTTCACCTCCTGTTCGATTTCGTCTCGTCGCTTTTCCAATTCTTCTTCTACACGTTTTTTCACAAGCATTTCAATGCGTTTGGAGGCTTCCTCTTCGATAATCTGTAAAATGAAATGAGAAATTAGATTATTAATGAGAAAGAGGTAGGGAATAAGTATTTCTGTAATTAGACGAGGCCCGATGATGTGAGTTTCATTGTAGAAACTCCGATTTTATCTGTAAGATAGATCTGAATGATATTCTTAAATAAATATTTCCTTTAGAAATGACTGTGGCCGTGTGAAACAGTGGCTACATTTGATTCAACCCTTCCAGTTTGGAGTACTTGCCGTTGTTCGACAATATTTTGGGTCGGTTGTACCTCCTAAAAATTGGTCTTTCTTAAAACATACGTTTCCAATTCCCGATTTTCAAAATGTTACCATAAGTAGCTGTTGCGGCTCTACATGCAACAACATAAACTTCACTTGCGCAAGCCTATAGCATGCAACAACATAAACTTCACTACAAAGTCTATAAGCGTTCTTGAATTCTTCTATCGTTTTCAAAACCGGCGATGATAAACAGGTTTTATTGCAAGGTTCTTGAGTTCATAAATCCAACTATCTATTAAAAATTATTTTGCGATTTGTCAAGAATGGAAAGCCATTGTGAGGCTTTCGAATTAAATAGCCGTTCTGAATCGCTCTAAGAAAGGATATCAAAAAAAAAAAAATAAATAAATAAATAAAAAAAATAATTAAGTCAATGACGAAGGAGCTACTTAACGTAAAATGTTCAACCCACGGAGATTTTAACAATTTTAAAAATTTTCAAATTGATCCGCAAGGACCCTTAAAGAAGTCGAAAGTCTAATATATTCTTAATTGGAATCCCTTAAGGATTTTCATTCTTTGCTTAAATTGTACTGCTTATTCCGGGATTTCCTAAATTATAAAAAGTTGGGGTCTGTCCCTGTAGATATAAAAAAATTGACGGGTGTATGGAAGTGTAAGATTCGGTGCAATGAATTATCTTACCTTTTGCTCGGCTTCTTTTTGTCTCCTCTGCCTTTCCATTTCGGCCAAACGTTCCACCTGTGTTAGAGCAAACACATTTATTTTTAATTTGATGATAAATTGGATTCAAATGAGCTTACCTCATCTAATTTCTTGTAACGACTCTTTTTGTGACGACTGCTTCTGTGACTGCTGCTATGTGAATCACTGTCTGTGTATGAGCTACTGGATGATGTCGATGACGAACGTTTTCGACTGGATCTATGATGATTGTGTTCACGCTCCCTATCACGTTCCCGTTCACGGTCACGATTTTCTTTTTTACTACTGGGAAAAGGAAAACGATTGTTATTAGTCTCAATTATCTTCGTAAATCGCTAAATATATAAAATATTAAAGCCTGATTTATTTTTAGAATCATGCCTATCCTATCCCAAGATAAATAGACATATGGCAATTTTGGTGGAATTGCAGGAGGCTGGAAATTTTTTCACTTTGGTGGTGGCCTATTCGCCGTGCTCTACCATGAAATACTGTGAAATGTATCTGATGAGGCATAAAAGTCAAGCCTTCACATTCCCTTAAATATTGGAAATGTTACCTTCTAGGATCAGGAAAGTCCTATACAAAATATATTCAATGAGATTTCCACAAGAAAAAGATTTGCGCCATAAGAAATGCTTGCATTCTATGTTCCTTACTTTAATTAAATTAACATTAGACAATGGGGGTGCAAGTATTTTTAGAACATAAACAAGGAAATAATATCCCTCAACTTCTTTTAACATGCCGTTCTAAACATTTGCTTCTTCTTCCTCCTCGGTTTTACTTATCAATATCTTCTTTTCACATTTCATTTTGGTACACACACAATCGCAACAACAGCACCACACGTAATAAAAACTGAAAAATCCACTATTGCCTGCCTGCCGTCGTCAGCTTGCTTCCTCACCTGTATTTGGATTTACTGCGTTTTTTATGTTTACTTTTGTGATGTCGCCTTTTAGGTGATGGACTTCTGGATCGTGAACCCATTTTGTTACTATTTAAATTAATTATTTATAATAAATTTAACACAATACAAAAAAGCAGCGTTCTTCCGTCTTCATTTGGAGATTTTTGCAAAAGTATTAGGGTTTTACAGATCGAAATGGGACTTATTGACATTTGATAGGGCAGGAAAACATGAAGGAGTAGGGATCATTCAATCGCTAATTCAGTTATCGATAACTGTGATACTGTTGAAAAGCTAAGGTTAATTTATACCAATTTAAATTGTAATAATAGCATGTTTCCATTGGAAACCGAACAACGTTGTTCGCTCTCAGAATTATGTACACGAATTAATCCGTTCATACGGCACGATTCGTAATTCATAGTAAAATAATTCCTTTTTTCAAAAAATTTGTTTGTTGATTTTAATGGGAATTTATACGAAAATACATGAAATTCTCACTAATATAAATGGAAGAAATGATTGTTTTTCTCCTAAAGATTTATTATATCATTAATTTTATAATTTTCATTCACGTTTTCAACTTTTTGTGCAAATGTTGACATTTTGAAAATATTTTTGTATTTTTCTATTTTTAAATTTTGCTGGAGAGACACTTGTCATACATGTTTTCTGCCGATACAAAGTTTTTGAAAATATTGCCTCTTTTGTTTGCAGTTTTCTGTGGAAATTTCAACTTGTGGATAAAATGCGTACCTCGAATCAGAGAGAAAACAAAATGTACTTTCGTTTGAATGTACATACGCCATGTAGTTTTCATTCATAATTTTCAGTCTTCCCAAAAATTTTTAAAATTTCATTAAATTTTTCTATTTTTAATTTTTAAATGTCATAATTTATTATTTTCGATAAATGCTCTCATTTGTTAGGGATGGGACATATTTTTTCGTTGTTCTGAGAATGATTTGATTTGGATAACGTACAAATATGAGTGTTCGCTCAGGAAATTTTGTGTGAAGAATAATGTAGTTTTTTCATAGTTAAGGGTCAAACAACGAATAGAGAGCGAATCAAGTGCAGTGGAAACGCCACATAAGTTCCATTGAAGGTGCGTAATAACTAATAAAGAATAATTGCAAAACGCTCATGTAGTTAACGATAGAATTAATGGCGCAATAATATAATTTTAAATTTTATTCTGGGAATGTTGTTGAGCGCATTGCGGGCTTATGTTCTCTTCAAATTTAGACATTTTCATATATTTGTCTTAAATAAGCGTAGAAACGGTGAAATTTCAGAAAAATAACCTACTTTTAATAATTTTATAAAAGGTTAAACTCTGTTTCAGAACATGCAAGGATCTGGAGGCTGAAGCCCGGTTTCTTTATGTCGACATGAAAGTGAATTGCTCTGTTCCAGAACCTGTAAGAGTTTACTAATCTTCCAATGTTTTTCGATATCATAAAGAAAAAATCGACTGTCGTAGTAAATATTACTACATTCTTGCTGTTCTGAATCAGAGCAAATTTAAAATAGAAAAAAAAATACTTTTCCAAATACATTTTCATACGTTCGATTTATTTAACATAAACACATTTCAATGGTATTTTTCGTATCTACTTACAGAAACCAGATCTGAGTTATGAATACTATAAATGATATTTGAATTACAATTTCAGACGAACGAACAAAATGTTTTACAAAGCAGAAGAAATTAAATTAATCTTAATATTCAATGCTGTAAACTTATTTTAAGAGTCAAACAGAAGTTTGGTAATATGAGTCACCCTATGTTGGTACTGGGTGTTCCAAATGTTCACACAATAGATTAATATTTTTGTACGTAATTTTAGTATATTGTCTTGACATACAGAGGGCGTTAGCATATAATAAACCCTGGGAAACTAAAATAGCAATTATTTGGATTTTTCTCTTCGTAATAATTAACAATGATAAATAAATAAAAATCCCGTTATAATTGAAATTATGGATTCGAATTTTTACATCAATCCCAATTAAATGTTAATTTTAAAAGCGAAAAGATTTGTTATATATTTTTTTAATGTTTACATGTGGTTAAAGTCTTAAATAAGCAATATATAAAAAATAACTTGGACGTATTGTTATCTTTTGTAATAGATGGCGTTAGCCATCATTTGCTCTTGGCATCACTAGATGTCTATAGTATAAAGTAGCTTAAACGCTTTGTTAATATATGCAACTGGAAAGCATTCAGTAGTCTTGCATTTTTACACCCTCCACCAACTTGTCATTTTGTTTGCAACACCTTGACTCCATAGTAGATAATCGTGTTTCTCCATAACAAACACTTTAAAATTAAAAAAAACGGCATTTGTCAAGTTATAAAAATTGAAATACTGAAATATTTATATGAATAGATGGTACGATTCATATAATTCAATGTTTGAAGATTATTTCAATCAAATGCGTACAGCGACTGCGGTACTTCAATGTTGTTTTCCAATGCGTCAATTGAAGTGTACTCGTCTGCATAGACATGAGCTTCAACACAGTCCCAGAAACAATAGTCTAAAGCCGTTAAACCTACCATCAGACAAAACCGCATATCATGTAAGTCAGGCTTTCGAATTTTGGGTGAAAAAAGTCGGATATCATCTCACAGTAGCGATGGTGAGCGATAACAGTTGCGTTAGGCTTTGCAGTATCTTTGAAGAATTACGGTCCAATGATGCCACTAGTCTATAAGACTAGAATATTTTTACTTGCCATGATCCCGTTTAAATGGATCAAAGGACCAAAACGTCCCCCTTCGTGAACCCCATAAGAGGTAACATTTTCGACACTATAAACCTGAAATGCACGGATTCCAAGAAAACTTAATCCAAAAATGTAATAAAGGTAAAAGAGAGGGAATTTTCCCTTATAATGGCGTTTCACATTTGATTTAGCAAAGTAGACTAACTTTATTCTGTTTTCATACACTTTTTCAAAAAAAATTTGAAAGATTCTAGCTTTGGAAAAGCCTCCATAAAATGCTAGATGCAGCGCTTAACGGACTTTGCTACATATAGAGTGATCACTTCGAGAAGGATTATATTATAAGGATTATATTTTGAAGATATACTTCGGAGCCGAGTTTCACAAAATATAAACGTACGTCCCGAAATTCACTCCATTGGGCTGATATTAGCCATTAATCCTGAACTCGGAATAAGGATATATATATGTGAGTTATATCCAAATCTTAGCCGATTTTGGTAAAATGTGGCAACGGTATATTTATTGTCGAATGCATATTACGAATGTGAGGGACTCAAACACCAAATCGGATGAATCATATATATGGGAGCTATAGCTATATCTAAACCGATTTTCACCAAATTTTATTTACTTGCTTCTAGACTGAATTGGGTCGGATGTGCCGAAATTCAGGTCATTTGGACTGATATTAGCCATTTGGTTCACAATTAACACGAAATCGGTTGAAGATATATGGGAGCTTTATCTAAATCTGATACGATTGTCACCAGTTTCAATAGGGTTCGTCCTTGGACCAAAGAAATATTTCTTGGAAAATTTCATCTTAATCAGATAATAAATGCGTCCTGCGTTTTGCTCACAACAATAAATAGATAGACGTCCGTCTATGGACTGACCTGCATAAATCGACTCAGAAAGTGATTCTATAAAGATCCTCAAAAGTAACTATGGACCTATCTCGCTTCCTTCAACATGTTACAATTAAATGCACAAAAACATAATATCCTTACCACTATGTGGTGTAGGGTATAAAGTTCTGCCCGGCCAAACTTTTTATATAATTCTGAAAGAACATACATTTCAAAAAAAAAAAAAACTTCTCAAATGATAGGCCTTAATGAAGACGTGTTCCTTTATAGCTAATTTTTTTGTCATAGGCTGTACTTTGTACATTACGAACTTCAATTACAAATTTTAAAACAATTCTGTTGAATAATACCGTTATATGGGGGTTATTCAGAGTATTCAGTACCTATTGCGAACTTCAAATACGAAATTTGAAACAATTGCGGTGAATAATATCGCTAAAATCATCAAAACACCGAATATCGGGATGTATCGCCATCGGGGGGTTATACAAAGATATGGACCTTCATTCGCAATTTTTTGTCATAGGTTGCAGTACCTATTGCGAACTTTAAATGCGAAACTTGAAACAACTCCGGCGAATAATGTCGCTAATATCATCAAAATACCGAATATCGGGAGGTACCGTTATATGGGGGCTACACGAAAACGTGGACATATGTCTGCAAAATTTTAGCGTTCTATCTCCATTCGTTCGAAACATAGCGTGATTACAACAGACAGAAAGGCAGACAGACGGACATCGCTATATCGACTTAAAAGTTTGCGCTAATCCAGAATATCTACTTTGTAGGGTCTATCGAGGAGGAGGATTTATAAATGGAATGACAATGTTAATATACCCTCCATCTATGCGAGTTGAATGCATTCCTAATATCGTCACAATGATTTACAGATAAGAAAATATTTTAACATTTGAAATTGGGAGATAGTCAAAAAGGCATTCCTTCTCCCTACTCCCAAAACTTCTCAGAAATTAAAACAAGATTGCAGAGAAAGTAAAAGTTTCGAAGAATTCGATAAAAATCTTGTCCCCTATTTCTTTGTCTAATGAAATATTTCACCCAATTATATTAATATTTAAGGTGTTGTTTGGATATTAGCTGTCATTTTTGCTATCCCTACTGGTGTCTAGCTGATTAACCTGTTTCTTCCCCTTTCCGCTCACTCCAAAATTTCCAACGGGGGCATTAGCACGCGTTTTGTGACAAATACTTGGAAATTGATCCAAAAAAAAAAATGCTCTGTACTGGATAAACGCTTTGTATGGCTATTACAATCTTGTTGTACCTTGACAATTGTACACCAAGACAATCGATCAATTTTTTTTTTGATTCCAACAATTATTTACGCACCCGTGAGCGGCAATACCCCACACTGTATGCTGCTGATTTTGGTTGGTAGATAAAAATCCCCTGAAAAAAAAAAAAACGAAACAATGTGACGCACAAACAGCAGGAGCTGATATCAATTTTCATTATCCGCCAAATTCGATGGAAAGATCTCTTCGTAAACAGTGGCTGGCTGGTCAGTTGTTTTGATTCGGTTTGGTCTGGTGTCACAAATCGATCACTCACTTA